CCCCATCCCATCGCTTCGGGGTTGTCCCACAGCAAATCCCCGTATGGCCAAAGCTGAGACCTTCCCTCCCCCCCGCCAAATTTGGCATCACAAATTTGGCACGCACAGGCTGGGGACAAATTGGAAAATGTGGGGGTGCTTTTAAAAATAACCCAACTTCGAATCTTGGGGTGTGGCAACGCCCCATCCCGCTTTGCGCAGGATTAACCGATGGGTAAAGGATCTTCGGGCTCAGCGGTGGCGATTCCCTTTGGGATATTTTCCTTTTATTTGGGTTGGTTTTTTTTTTTGTCAATAAACAGGCACCAACAGAGGGGCTGCCCCCCAAAAAACCCCCAAAGCCCATTGATTTGGGTCTCTCCAGGAGCCACGTTCAGCATCTGGCCGCTGCCCAAACCCCTTTTTAATTCCCCCGTTGCCATGGCAAAGGGATGCAAAGGCGAGGGATGCCGATGGGGGGGGGAGGGGGTGTGCGTCCCCGCTTCCCGAAAAGCAGCGGGATAAATAAAATAGGGATTGGTGGGGGAGATGCTTTGTGTATCAAACAGGACAAGTCCCAACAAGCCGGGACAGGTCCAGACAAGTCGGATGCACAGCACCCAAATTCCCATCACCGGGACGTCGCAGCGTCTCCCGCTCCCCGCGTGGGGAATGCAAAAGTTGCAGCTTGCCTCGCTTTGATTTTGGGGTTAAAAATGGGTGGTTTGGGGTCAACCCAATGGGTGACTTTACCCGCTCGCTGATGGCGTTGTACTTGATGGCCAACTCATCGCGCTCGGCCCGGCTCTGAGCCAGCAAGTCCTCCACGCGCGACAGCTCCTGCTGCAGGATGCGGTTCTCCTCCTGGAGGGACAGCAGCGAGGACATGGCCCCCGCGACGGCCGCTGCGGGACGGGGACGGGGCTCAGGCCGGTTTCGGAAAGCGGCGGGACCGGGATCCGGCCACGGGATGAGGATCCGGCCCCGGGATGGAGCCAAGATGCCCTTTGCAGCCGAAAGCTGCAAACGCTTCACCCCGTGCAACTCAATGCCGAGCGATGCGATCCGCAACGGCAAAACCGCTGCAGATGTGCGTTCGCAACGGCAAAACCACCGCAAACGGGCGTTCGGAGCAGCAAAAGTGCCGCCGGTTTGCAGCTGCAGTCGCAAGAGTGCTGGAAGTGTATCAGCGGCGATCGCAAAAAGCACCGCAGATTTGTCATTGGCATCGTAAAAGCGCTGCGGATTTGTCGTTGCCATCATAAAAGCGCTGCAGATTTGTCGTTGCGAACGTAAAAGCGCTGCAGATTTGCAGTTGTGATCGCAAGACCGCTACAGAGTTGCCGCTGTGATGAGAACAGCGCTGCAGATTTATAGCTGCAGTCGCAAAACTGCTGCAGGTTTTACAGCTGCAGTCGCAAGACCGTGGCAAATTTGCGCTTGCGATCGCCAATCCGCTGCAGATTTATAGCTGCGATCGCAAAAGCCCTGCAGATCTGTGTTTGCAGGCACCAAAACGCTGCGGATTTATAGCTGCAATCGCAAAACTGCCGCAAATTTGCAGTTATGATTGTAAAACCGCTGCAAATTTGTGTTTGCAATCATGAAACTGCTGCAGATTCGCAGCTGCAATCGCAAAACCTCCGCAGATCTGCGTTTGCCATCACAAAACCGCTGCGGATTTTTGTTTGCAATGGCAAAACGGCCACAAATCTGCAGTGATGATCCCAAAACCGCTGTGAATTTGCAGTTGCAATCGCAAAACCACCGCAAATTTGTGTTTGCCATCGTAAGAGCGCTGCAGATTTATAGCTGCAATCGCAAAACTGCCGCAAATTTGCAGTTATGACAGTAAAACCGCTGCAACATTTGTGTTTGCAAGCGCAAAACCACTGCAGTTTCGCAGTTCCAATCACAAAACTGCCACAAATTTGTCTTTTCCATCACAAAAGCGCTGCAGGTTTACCACTATCACAAAACCGCTGCAGAACTGCAGCTACAACCACAAAACTGCTGCCAATTTGCAGCTGCAATCACAGCACCGCTGCAGATTTACAGCTGAGGTCACAAAACTGCTGCAAAATTGCAGTTATGACAGTAAAACCGCTGCAAATTTGTGTTTGCGAGCGAAAAACCACTGCAGTTTCACAGCTGCAGTCACAAAACCGCCGCAAGTTTGTGTTTGTGATCACAGCAGTGCTGCAGATTTATAGCTGCAATCGCAAAACTGCCGCAAATTTGCGGTTGTGATCCCCCAAAACTGCTGCAAACTCGGAGCTGCAATCGCAAAACCGCTGCAAATTTGTGTTTGCCATCACAAAAGCGCTGCAGATCTACTGCTGCTCTCCCAAAACCGCTGCAGAACTTCAGCTGCAGCCACAAAACTGCTGCCGATTTCCAGTTGCAATCACAGCACCGCTGATTTATAGCTGCGGTCACAAAACTGCTGCAAATTTGCAGTTATGACAGTAAAACCGCTGCAACATTTGGGTTTGCGAGCACAAAAACTCTGCAGTTTCGCAGCTGCAGTCACAAAACCGCCGCAAGTTTGTGTTTGTGACTCCCAGAGTGCTGCAAATCCCCAGTTGCG